TTTTTTTTTTTTTTTTTTAAAAAAAAAGAAAGGGAGGTAAATTAATATTTACACAAAAATAACTAATGAAAATGAATTAAAAAAAAAACATAAAAAAAAAGTAGGTGCTGATAAAACTAGAAGACCTGGTCTGCTCCTGTTTTTTTTCCTCAAAAGTGGATGATGACTTGTACGCTTCTGAATTTTTTTTTTTTTTTAAGATGGGTCACTTATACCTGTCATCAATTGGTTTTTTTTCTGGTCAGTTTTAGATGATCAAAAACATTAAGGATTAAATTTGTAATTAAAAATTTATTTTTATATTATTTTTATCTAAAAACACTTGAAAAAGTAATATAATCCTTGAAAACCACTTATCAATCCCAAACCACTTATTTTACACTTTAATACTCTTTTATTGAATTTTATTTTTCTTTAACAAAATATAAGAAATCAGTCATTAAATTGGTCAAAGAACGCTGAATTTTAAAATAATGCTCGAGAATAAAATTGAGAAAAATTACAAATAATGTAAATTGCTCCAATGAAATATCTAGAAATCTTATTATATTTTGTAATCCAATGTAGCGTAATGCTGTTTTCCTTTCTTTCTGCCCTGTCTTTTTATCACATGAGGGAAATCAAATTAAAACAGACAAAAGAAAGGAAGGAAGAACACCCTGTCGAGGTCATTACCGTCACTTGAAAAGATTAACCAGTTGCTGGGTCCATTAATATCGCGCCATGTTCCTTCCATTTCATTCTTCATATTAGAACACAACGAAACAAAACTCTAGACTTCTGTGGTGAAAGAAAATGAATCCCCAAGCACAACAACACCTCACTCAAAAACTCTAACCCAACAAAATCGACATGGATATAGAAATGAAATAAGAAACCCTCCCTTCTTCTTGTTTTTAATTTTCATTTTTCAAGAGAGAGGATCCAATTGGTTTGCAGGTCGGCTTGTCCTCCTTCAATGGCGAGCGGGTGGATTAAGTCCTTACAATGTAAGTCGAGAGCATTTGATGATGTTTTTAACCCCAACCCGAAACACTTGTTACCCAGCTCCAGTTGCAGAAAAAACTCTTCAAAAATGACTAAAGATGTCATTATTGAAGCCAAAGCCAAGAGATCAAAACCTAAACACCATCTTTTTAATCATAACCAACAAAAACCCACCTCAAACCCCGTTTCGACACCCCCACCACGTCCTCGTTCAACCCGGAACACTGACCCCGTTTTCCCTGCCCTCACCGAGCTGCCTGACGGACATCCTTCAAGAAATGTGGTGGATATCATCTTTCACACCAGTTGGAGCAATAAATCATTCCCGGGTCGAATCGAGATGATTTTCAAAGTGCAAAACGGGCCGAGAACGGTTACCCGCTTTGAAGAATATCGAGAAATTGTTAAAACCCGGGCCGAGCTAACAGGTGGAACGACGCGGGAGGAAAACGCAAGGTGTGTCGCGGATGGAAACGAGATGATGCGGTTTTATTGCTTGGGTCCCGCTGGAGGTGTACATGAAGCGCGTGGTGATGCGTGGGTTTTCCCTGGAGGAAAAGGAGCAAGGGTTTGCACGTTTTCCGGCAGCGGAGGCGCTCATGAGAGCGCTGGTGGTGGTATAGGACGGAGAGCAATGCTTGTCTGTCGGGTCGTAGCAGGTCGGGTTACGAAGCAAGTCGGGTTTGGTTCATTGATTGATGACTGTCGGGTCGGGTTTGACTCGGTGAGTGGGGATAACGGCGAGTTGATGGCATTTGATGGTCGTGCGGTGTTGCCTTGTTTTCTTATTATCTATAAATTGTAAAAATACCTTGGAAATTATTTTCTTTTCATTTATTTTTTGGAAGTGCTTTTCTTTTAAATATAAATCTGGTGCGTTTATCAACCCAAATTTTCTTTCTTGATTTTTAAATTTTGAGCTGTTAATTTTTTTTATTTTTTATGGTGCGGTTATTGTGAGAGAAATTGGTTTGATAAATGCTAATTAACCTACCCACCGTTACTGTTTAAATGTACTAATTGTTATTGATTGCTCAGTAACCTTTCTAGCACATCCTGTTCTTTTTGTAACTTTTTTTTTTTTAATTTATTTTATTCGGAGAGTTTGGTCAAAAAAGAGCAGGGAGTCATTTGTCGTTGTGTGATGATATTGATGTTGATCTGTCACGCTATTCACTCAATATTTTTGTTAGAGCTCCCCCCTCTTAAAAAAAAAATTAGATCGTTTTAATGCATAATTTTAAAAATAAATATAAAATATATTGTTTTAATATATTTTTAAATAAAAATATTTTAAAAAAATCTGCCACCAGATATTATAATGCTAAAAACTATAATGTTAAAACACTATCTAAAGATTTGATAGTTAGTTATTTTCTATTGATTTTTGGCTAAACTAATTTGCACAATGATGACTTAGTGTGTCAAAGAATATGGGAATTATAACGTAATGATAGCAATATTTAAGTGGTGGATTTCTTCTTGTGGTTTTCCTTTGTGAAAAAATAATGGATTCTGTAATTATGATTCTAAATCTTGGCTTTCTAAAGGGGATGATGGTCAAATATTTAGCAATGATTCGATTGGGAAAAGTCATTAACTATTTGGTGTCTTTGTTTTGATTTCAAAAGTTAGATACTTCATACAAGGTTTATGAATTTCAGCTGTAATTTTTTGCACTTTTTTGTCTGTGACATGTATATATATATTAAAGTAGAGGGGTTTTTTTTAATTAGCATAATGATAAAATAAATTTATCAAAATAGCATTGCTAAAAATTTATTTGTGAAAATGGCATAGTTCGTTGAGAGGCGTAAGTCTAGCTTACAGGATCAATTTAATTAAAAGTTTAAGGAATATAGCTTTAACTAGTAAATTTTCTTTACAAATGTAACAATTTTAAATGTCTTAAATTTTAGAGTCATTAAAAATTTATATAATAATTAATTTTAAGATTTTAAAAAATTAATTAAAATATACATAAATGGTCTCAGACACTCACAATTAATTAAAAAAAGAGTTTGCTAGAAACTATTTTCCCTTTATTTCTCTCTTCCCCTTCTTTATGCCATCCTGATCCTCCTTTTCTCGTTCTCTTTCTCTTTTGCAACTATTCTCTTTGTCTCGACAAAACAGCTCTTATAATTTAAGGTATAATCTATCCTTTTTTTTTTATTAGTTTAGGGATTTGTTGATTTTGATTAAATTAATTATAAATTATGTTAATTAACTATAAAGTACATCAATTTAGTTGATAAATTACATTGTTTAGGGAGAAAATTGACGAGTTAGAGTTTCGTTGATTCAAGTTTTGTCTAAAGTATATCATAAATTAGCATTAAGTTTTATTGTGTTATTTCACATAATATATCTTTTGGTATGAGATTATTATATTACTATGGTGTTATTATTGTTGATACAAAAAATAATATCATTTATAATTGAGAAAATAACGATTTTCTTACTACTAAATTAGACATGTTTCTTGCCAAGCTAAGAAAATTAATATGTGGAGGCAATGAGTAAAATTCTTCTAAAAATTGAAGCAGACATTACTCGAAAGTTATAAGCTATTGTATATTTAAATCATCATGTCGGTACGCTCATTTATAGTGATGAAAATTTAAATTCAATGGCTGGGTTGACAATAAAAAATGAATAGCAATTTTTATAGTTCTATTTGAATAATTATAATAGTTCATTCAGGTCCCAAGTCAAACTCAAAAGACCATACATGTATCATAGATAACTAGTACATTTGGGATAGATGGTGATGTAAAGAATCTAGCATTGATCTAAAAAAATTTAGATATAAAAGCTCAGTTAAATATGTCAGCTGCTTCATATTATTATAATTATAATGATTTTAAACCAAATGATGAGAAAAATAATTATCATATTAATAATATAATTTTAAAAAAAGTTAATTGAGCTAATAAGCCCATTCATGAACTCCCTATTCTTGAATTTGAGGATAGTGAGCTTGCTTAAATGATAAACAATGATTGGTTTTAAGTTACATTATATTGTAAAAATTTTTATTCATTTAATATTTTAAAATGAAAAGAAGCAAACAGATGTCTCATCATTAAACTGACTTAGATTTTATTGCTATGCGATATTCACCCTTGTCAAAACCAAAATTATATGTAGGGATTTAAAAAAAATAGTTTTTTTAATTTTTTTTTAATATTTCTAAATGATTTTAATTTTCTGATATAAAAAATAAAATTTTAAAATATATTATTTTAATATATTTTTAAATAAAATATACTTTAAAAAATATATCTCAGATAACTTTTTAAATGGATTCAGATTTCATAATAGAGTACAAGGCTTCACCTGGCAATGCTAACGGGGCCACGAAAATACCACATAATCATGTCACGGGAAAACTCAAATGATAAATCTAAATAGAAATGCCCACAAATTATCTTCTACAATCATTACCTACCCAAAATTGGATTCCCATTTTTGTTGACACTCTCTCTCCTTCTACCAGTAATACTAGACTACAAGTCTCCTCATAGTGGACCAAAAAAACATAAAATTGAAAACTTGAAAAGAAATGACGTGGCATCGACTTACTCGTTGACAAATTCAATTGACATACCCAAAACTTTTTTAAAAAAATCTTAGAATTATGTAAATTTTATTTTTTTGATAAATCAATCAAAAATTGGGTCTTGAAACTGCAATGATTGGATTGTGATCGCATTAGAGGAGGATTTTTTTTCTATTTATGAAGAAAAGTCTCAAAATAAAACTTTTTTTTAAAAAATAATATAAGCTAAAGAATATAAACCTAAAACCTCCTGCAAAAGAGGTGAAGCACAAGCATATCGTCAAACTATAGGTCAAAAGGTCCAAGATGTGAGTTAATTTTTTTTCCAGTTAATTGGAAGTCCTGGTAGGTGTGTTTTTTTGTTCGATAAGTACAAACATATCTTAATATTTTAATATAATATAATATAAACGAACAAGTTTGAATGGTTGTTATACTAAAATATTTTAAGACATAAATAATTTCAAATAAAGTTTGATAAGTTAATTATATTAAATATCTTATTTGATTTTCAAAATTTAAAATTAAGAGCATAAATTTGAATTATCATTCAATATTTTAATAACTAATAGTTAAAATAGTAACTCTTAGAAATAATTATAACTAAAAAAGTTACACTTATTTGTTTATATGTATAGTTTAAATTAAAGAAAATGGAATCATATTTAACATATCATCTTGTTGTAAGAAAGTCCTGTCTTTATATATTGAAACTTATTTGAGGTAAAAGTGCTGTAGTTAAAATAAAGTGTTAATAAAATAATGTATTTGTTAATAGCGATTTAAGAAACTTATTTGATGTTTAAGTAGAAAAATTACTTTCACTCTTTTTTTTTGGAATTCGTAAATTTTGTAATTTTTTTCTTAAAAAATAGAGATGGGAATAAGATTCTCATATTAGAGTTGGGATAAGTTATAATTCTTTAAGTATTAGTGTTTCCATGCCTATTAAGATTTGGGCAATCACATGTTTTAAATGAATTAATGGTTTTATATATTTACGACACTTTTCAGGGGTTTATTTATGCAATTAATACAAAGTTATGACACCGTAACCATACGAATATTTTAACTGGAAACCACCAGCTTCTCTCCTCTCGTTAAGATATAGTAATCAGGCCTCCATTGGAAGAAAAAGAAAATAGCAAAAAATGTCTCCAAACCATATTAGGAGTTTCTTATTGGGTAGATTATACTATGAAAATGATTTTATTTAAAAATAGATAAAAAAATAATTGTAAAGCTAATTGAACGGGTTAAAATTGAAAGTTTAGATTAACCTAATATGTTATCTTAATATTAAAAATAGGTATTACTTTGAAATTTTTATTAAAAGTTAAATCATATTTTATATTAATTGTTCATAAATTTTTTGAGCTTGCTAAATAAAATAAATCATGTCAAAATAACTCTAAGGTAGGTTGAGCCACTTGGTTAGGCCTCTTTTTTTCATCTTTTTTTTTTTTTAAAATTCATCTTTAAATTTTTATTTTTTGATTGAATCATTTTTTATTTTTTTTATTTTATTCTTAAACATGTGGTTTATCTAAAACTTGTCTTCATAATTTGTTTTGGTTTATTTTTTAAGAGATCATTATAGTCTCAAATGAATATTTTAATATTTTATTTTACATTTGTCTATTTTTATTATTATATTATTAAATAAAAAATATTTTAAAAAATAAAATTATTAAATCTAGTATAATTCATGATTTATATTATAAGTTTTGTGGGTTAAATTACAAAGCCCAAATTAATATAACAAATTACCATTTTAATATTAAAATAAAAAAGATGTAAGCCATCCTTTTTATTAGTTATTTGTATTTTTTTATATTTAGCATGTTGACCAAGTTATATTAAAGTAATTTTTATAAAAATTAATTTTAAATTCAAACTAAATAAAAATCTTACTAGATAAGGTTTAAAATTAACATATTGAATATATTTTAATAACAATAATATATCATTACCTAGATTTTTTTTTTTCACGTTGAAATAATTTTTAACCCACATCATAGTGTGGTTAAATAAACTAGTATAAGCATGAGAAAACAAGGTTTAAGTCTTCCAGTCCATATTTAAGAAAGAATATCTCCTCTTTTCTTTACGGGCCATCATCCTGGCCTAAGAAATTTTCATTCATTTCATATTATATTCAAAGGGTGCGTGGAGGACCGAATTTGAATATCATAATATATGTATGCATATATTAGAGGATTTTCAAGAAATATTTTTCTCACGACGTCCCTTTCTTTGAAAACAAAAACCCCACTTGCCGCTTAATTTAACTGCTCC